AAAAAAATTAGTGTTGTTTTATATATATATATATTTTAAAAATTTTTATTCACTGCTTTTTGCTTTCTTTCCTTCACTTCCACCAGCACTTTCACTGGATAGAGGTCTCTTGGTAAAATATCTATCCAAAGAGATTTGGCTTTGCCTACTTTTTAAAATGTTTCTAAAATGACTTAGGCAGATGTCATTACTCCGAGCAGCAATACGGCCAGTGTGAACCTTTTCGGGTTGTTTCTTTTTAATAAAATCAGTCACTTTCTGATAATACCTCAAGATTTTTTTTAATTGAGCGAGACGAAGCAAATATGCGGACTGAGACCAATGAACAGAAGTGAATAAAAAATGGCGCTGCAAAATAATGTAGCGTTGTATGGTGAGTTTTTGTTCGTATCATGGAGCAAAAATATGTCGAATTTCACGTTGTATCCTGAAAATTTCGTATGCCAGGGCGTTCGTATCCTGAGGTACCACTGTATTAATATTTGAAGCAGAGCGCTAGCGAATCTTCTATGAGGCTTACAGAATTGTGTTTGTTCTCAAAATCCGTTTGATAGATTTTGATTAAACTTTGCTATTTTGCATTAATTGCAATGCAGAATCCAAAAATGCAATAAAAAATGGGTGTCCATGACTTCATTTTTGAGATGTAAGGTCGTTTCATGAGTGTGCACAACAAAACGATATCACACAAATCACACATTTTAGTCAGGCAATGTTTCACAATTGCTAGCACATCTTGTATGAGAGTTTAGAATCAAGTTCATTCTCAAAATTTAATGAATTTATTTTGATGAAACTTTGCTATTTTCCATTAATTGAGATGAGGAATTCAGAAATGTAATGTAGGTCCATTTAAATTAAAAAATTCAGCAACAAATTGCTTAACTTTCCTGACAACATTTAAAATTTTGGTCACTCTATCTTATACGATATTTTATTTTAAAAAACTGTTTACATTTTTAATTATTATAAAATGGCAAATAAATTTTATAAAAAAAATTGTAAATGCTAATAATGAATAAATCGTCATTAAGTCTGACACTACTTGAGATATGACACGCCCACTCTTTATCACTCCACCCTGTTGACCTTAAACCACCAAAATTTAATACCATCAATCTTTCGAATACACAAACCTTCCTGAAAATTTCAGAAATTTTTGATAAGCATCGGAGTTATTAAGCT